GGCTGCTTTGTAAAGCACTCCTAACAGGTGCTGGTATCAGAAAGTATCGGCATTGACTCCCTTTTGGATTCGCAAGCAGCTTGCCAAGGGTGAAGTGTAGTCAAAAGAAAATTTTGTTATTCCATATTCCAGGATCTTAGAGCCTGCAAATGGAACTAGATATACCTGAACTCCTTTCACTCTCTCCACTGCTACATTGTTCAATTGAATAGATTTCATCAAATTTCATCAAAAAATCCTTTGTGCAAACTGTGTGCCGCGGCACACTATTGTACCATAGAAACTTTTTGAAGCTGACAGAAGCCGCATACTGTGTGCGACTTTGGTCATGGCTTATCCTGCTGGTGTACCGTGGCTCAAAAAAATTTTGACAACACTGATCGACGACCTCAAAAAATCACACTTCACATTCTATTTGTTTCAACTTAAAGCTCTTATTAATTTGTTTCCATCCAGTAAATTATTTAGTAATATTTAAAGCTTTCATAACAACAACTCAACCATATACTTTACATTTTTATTCTGTTTTTCATATATAATATTATTCATTCTCACAAAAGAGGCATAGTGGGTGTCAGAAAATGATTAAAGATTTATAAATTTTTTTTTTCATCTATTTTTCACATATGTGTGCATGTTCACTCACATCATGTGCCAGAATGGCAATATAGAAAATATTTTCATCACATCATCTTGATTCACACTTTAATTAAAACTTTTAATGCTATTGATGTGCCCATAAAGGCTCAATAAGCAAATATTTGCTATATTTTTGTACATATTGTGAGCAATATAAGCATGTGTCAGCTATAAGAAAGATGAGATAGTTCACATGCTTCGTACATGACATGAGAACAAGCTTAATACATTTTATCGATTTATTATGAAAGATTAAATGACATTTTGACAAATTTTTAATATCGTGTAGCTAGCTGGAACTGTTCATGTTCATGTTCATTGACTTTTTACAGTAGAACCTTGAATGATGATGTGAATAGTTCATATGACACATATTGGATTTACTGAGTGAATGTGAAGTTTTATGGAATTTCCATAGTAAGTTTAATGTCCTTCGGTTTAAAGGATATTAAATGTGGAAATATTAAAAAGATTGATGAATTTTGAAGCAGCATATATTGCTGTATCTTAATAAAATTCTGAAAATCTGAGAACGTTGGTATAGCCTTCCAAAAGAGAGGTCCAGATTCATTTGGATTAGTTTTTCAGTCGACAAAAAGGATTGTTAAAGCATAATGAATCCTAATTACAGCTTCATTAATTCTGACTTAATTTGTGCAGATCTCCCTATAACTACCATATGTATAAACTAATGTAAAACAAGTCGAGTTCGATGGGAATTGTGCCTACGACCTCAAAAAAGGCGATCTCAGACCAATCGATCAGCCACCGAGGTACTTATCTCACTTCGACTATCCGTCATTCACATATAATCAGTTTCAACGCGAGCCCTATGCTAAGGCCTATCTACTACAGATATGTTCTTCAAGCTATATCCACAATATCTATGGCTGCTAAAGGTAACTTTGAATCTTCTGAAAAATCAATCACAAGCTGGCAGTTTAAGTCATGATGTGCTTTTGTTGGATGTTGAGATCTTTGACAGCAGTTAAAGTCGATGAGTCTCAGTTATTAATTTTAGACAATTAATAAAAGTAACTGTGTAAAACCTTGTTAAGATAACATGCAGCCGCAGAAATAGACCAACGTTCGTTGATCACAAATAATGAATATTAGAACTTCATCATCGATTTCCTGCCTTCCTCCAAATAAAAACTTATGTCAATAAAATATTGTAGGAAGTTCCAAAAATACTCTGATTCAAGCAAGTAATCCCCTAAGGCACATCATGAATAATGAAAATATTTCAATGAATGAAATAGCAACTTTTCTCAAGAAAATGTCAAAGACAGACAAAAAAGTATCACCTACATAGAATTCTATTCAAACTCTTCTTCATGTCTTATCAAGTAAACAAGAATCCTACATCTTCATCATAATTGTCACCAACTCGACGTGATTTTTTTGCGTCTAAATTTTCGACACAAAAAATAACTCGTCGCTCACATAATAAATAATATAAAAAAAGCAAACTAGTCTCCGCAAACAAAAAAAAACGTATTTAGCTATAAAACTGTCATAAAAAATGTACAAAATATTCTGTCCAACGACTTTTTTTGATAGACCCACACAAGACATGGCCAATGAAGAGACAAAATAAACGAGACTTTAATGGCTCTCGATTCCATTTATGAAAATGCACATCAGCAATAAAAATAAAACTTACATTACTTACAATATGCGAACTGATGCGACTGTAAATGAGAAAATATAGGGTACGAGGAAAATTGTAGATTTCCTGCAGTTTTCAAATGGGGTTATTCATAAATGATGTCTAAAAAGAAGAAATTAAAGGATCTAGAAGGAGAATTTGTGTCTAAAGAAGAATCAGGAAGTTTTTGGGTGAGTCAGGGATCTCTATTGGAATCTAGAGGTCCGTAGGAAAAACAGGAGGTATATAGAAGGATCTGGACGTCCTCAAGTCGATCTTGACGTCTATGAAGGGGGTTTGAGCATCGTTAGTGGAATTTATTGGACTCTAAAGTCTTCAAGAGCTGCATAATGCTCTAAACAAATGGCATTTATTGATATTTTATAAGAATAAAGAGTTAACGTCACTTATAAACCACCCCCTCATGAAATATGACTTCGAAAAACACAATAATAGAAATTCTCATGTTGTTTACTCTTTACTCATCTTGTGGGTGTTTAAACAACTAAAAATAGAGCATAAAAATGCTTATGATAATAATGAAAAATCTAACAATAAATGTGTGAGATCATCAAGATCTAAATCAACGAAAATTAGGTCAAGTTTCATAATTTTCTCGTTGAGAAAGTTGAGAAATTTCTTCAAGACTTATGGCACATCTGGCTAGAATGAAAATATTTATCTGTCGAAAACAAACAAGTCAAGAAATAAGTTTATGTACACAGGAAATGGATGAAAATGTGCACCTTTTTACTGCTTGTATGTCGCAAATGATGAGTGAAAAATATTATTTTTATTTGAGAAACTAGGAAATGGATGAGGAAAATTTTTCAGAACTTGATGGTTTTTGAGTGGTTATGAGTATAATAATACTTAGGAATGTGGAGTGAGCAATTCATTTTTGAAATTGTTTGCTTTTTTGCTCAAGTATTATCTTATGAGAATTTCTGCTTTAGCTATCGGGAAATGGAAGTTTTTGGGACTATTAAGCCATAGCTAAACCAATTTGCTAGCATTAAATCATGAACTGTGTGGTCAATTGGTTATGCAACAGGATAGCTTTGTTATCATTTCTCATTCAAATCCTTGGGTTCGATTCTCACTACAAATGCGAAATTTCAATCTGTGCATATAGAACTTTAGGATCCCGAGTCTGGAACTACTCTCGATTGGTTGGAGTTCTCTATATGCTCTTCCTAAAACTTATTATTTCGTCCCTATGACAAATAACTTAATATGTTCTTTAGGCTCTTAAACATATTATAAAACCTTTAAGTTCATTAAAATTAGGTCATTCAGGTTCTCGAAAAATATCATCCGTCAAATTATTGTCACCATAAATATTGAAACAACAACTTCACGACTTGTGTGCTAATTTACGGACAATTAAACTTTATGTGCCATTTAATTATTAGTCAGTAGCTAAAATAATTACAATTATTAATTGTTCATTCAAAATTGAACACATAAAATCAAATTATGGACTTTATTATTACTCTTATGTGTTAATTTGCAAAGAAATGGCAGAATCATCAATGTGTTGAAATCAGTTGACACTTGTAATTTGCATTTTATTGTGATTGGTAATGAATGGGTGCTTCAATGTAATTATGAGTTGACATTGAGTGAGAATCAATTAATTTTGAGTCCCTTCTTTTTATTGATTGATAATGAATTGGATGTTTTAGGGGACAAACTTCGTCCGATGACCCCCTCCCCAACTCTCTTTTCCTTTCTTTCGCAAATCTTCCAGTAATTTCATTAATCTTCAACCTAGTTTCACCTGTTTTACAATTTTATTAAAAATCTCTTCATAAACAACCAGCATCACATTTAATCCGAAGAACATACAACATCCCCATCCATTTCACCGTCTACATCTATATATACACCCATATCAAATTGCATTAAATTCATTATGCACAGAGACAAATTAATGACGAAAGTCAACAAGTTATTTTTCATCCCTAGAGCATGACAGCTTCCACTCGGACCATTTTTTGTTGATCATAAAAAAAATTTAATGAAATAAAAAAAAGTTGAGTAAAAATGACAGAGAAATTATTTGCGATGCGCTGACTTTGGCATTAAGTGAAGCTCCTTTTTGCACATTCTGGCTTGTCATTGACATGATGATGACTCATAAAGTTTTTATAGGGAAAGTTGTAAAGAAAAGATGAGACACAAAATGGTCACACGAGACGAGACGAAAAAGTTTATAAATATATGCACAGCATTCACGAAAATAAGAACACACAGATACACATGGAAAGTAAACTCTTTTGCAAGAATTAGCGTAAAGAAAAGTTTTTTACGAGCTGATGTCAGTGGAAATAAGTGTAGTAAATGGTACAAAGGACTGTCATGGCAGCTAATTATGTGATAATGACATACTTTCGTCAGACAAAAAAATGAATGTCTGTAATCTAGAAATATGATAAGATGCCATGTCTAAGAGCTTCAGGTGTTGAAGGAAATGAGCATTGTTTGGATGTTGGGAATATTTAATGGATATTGAAGAGAATATTTGATGAATTCAAATTCAAAATATCCGTAAAATCATGAATTCACCAACAGTACATTCCTTCCAACTCTGACTCAACCTCCAATTCAACAATCACGTACTGACATTATCGACATTTTTTAAATAATAATTCAAATTTTTTTTGCCAAAAGAAATCAAACAAAAAAGAAAATATTTCTATTGTAGGAAGCATAAATCATCATGTCGTCGTCGATGAAACGAGAAGTTCGCAGAGAAGAATATTCAACAAATGTGATTCGTACCCTTCAACCATCACGTCCATTGTCACCATACTCACAAAAATCTGATTTTGATAATAATTTGGGTATGTGCATAAAATTTTTAATTCTTCAGCATTAAGCATGAATGATGATTGGTTCTTTTGCAGATAATATTCTTGACGACTTACAGCACAGCATATCGCGTCCAGGTAGTTCATTAGGTCAGCCAAATTATTCTAGTCAGCGCGATGTTCAATATATCCAGCCAGCAAATGCAACAACTGTCTTAAGGGAGCGATCATTAAGTCCTAATTCAAATGTAAGTCTGTAAAATTTTATAATTAATAATCGTGCCTGACACAAGTTTCACTTGCAGTCAAATCGAATGTACAAAACTACAAAGTACGAATATTCAACATCGGCTGGCGGCAACGGACAGAACAACAGCTACACAGACAGAGGAAATATCAATGAAATAAACAAACTTGATACGCTTTTGAATGATCTTGAAAATGAACGCACCGCAACACTCGAACGATGTAAGAAATTTTTATTTAAGATCGAAATGTACATACAAGTAAGGGGGATTATTCGTAAATGATGTCTGTTGAAAGTTGAGGATTTTAGAACCCCTACTCATCTTTCAATTGCACTTACTTAACATACATCGGGGTCAAAGACACTTTAAGTGCAGACATCACTTACAATCAAACCCTTTGAGTCACAACTTGTTGTTTTTATGACTCAATTTTCAACAAAGTTTTAATGATTCACCTGCATGTGTCCTCAATGCACACGATTTATTTAAGGAACAAAAAGTTTTTTCTTACTGCCTTGTTTTGAATTCACATTGAATTTATTCATTGAACTGTGCTTTTTAAGTTTAGTATGTCACAGATCTAATAATATCTCCATTCGAGTAGATTTATGATGAAATTTTCTCAATGGCGAAATAAATATTATTGACAAAATATGGCATTATCTCATCCACATGTGGCATATCGATCACAATAAATTACTCAAAAATTTGATCTCTTCCGAAAATAGAAAATAAGAAATTTTGTGGAATAGCAAGAAGATTTATGGATGATTTAATATTGATGTGACATAAAATTTTGAAAGCTATGACGATGTCCATTTAGGAAGATCATGATTAGTAAAATGAAATTTTTTGGAATTTCAGTTAAAGTTCGGATTTTAGTAGGTTCCTAAATCGGCTCTAATATCTGAACTTCATCTAGTACCCGATATAGCACTAGATTTAGTCCCTGATCTAAAACCTGATCTAGTACTTGATCCAATAACTGATCTAGTACCTGATCTAATTACTGATCTAGTACTTGATCTAATACTTTAATCAACTCAAGTGCAGAAATAGTTTCTAGTACCTGAACTGGTTCTAGTACTTAAATCGATTCTAGTACCTTGCAAAATTTCAATAAAGACTGGATCTACTAGTTTAAAAAAATACATTCCTTAAAAAAAATTCACTCAAACTTTAAAGCATCAATAAACCCACTTATCCATTTTTTCAATTGTCCATCAAATTTCATGTATTTTTTATTCCACTCAATCCATTCAGTCTACAACTTCACTATTCTTTTTCTGCATCTATTTTTAAATTTCTACATTTTCTCTGTTTTTTATTTTTCTCATATTTTCTTTTTATTAAAAAAAGCCAAACGAAGCACTTCCAACAATATTGGCATTGATTCAGGTTTAATGTAAGTATTATATGTTGTGGGGATGATTCCATACCTCAAATTTTTTATTTTAATCACGTCGATTCCATTAATTTGAACTTTTTTTTTTATACATCCAGTGAACCAGGCACGAAGGTTGTAAAAACAACAACAACATACACATCAAAGAATCCAGTATCACGTGAATTAGTCTTTGAAACACCAGATCGAGTCGTTCGTCATCAAAGTCCACCTTATGATACTCGTACAGTTGAAACATCACAAAGACGAAATGTTACTTATACTGATGATGGTCTTTATGGCAAACCACGCAGAACTGTTTCACCAACGCCACCGGCAAGTGGGGCTACTCAATATCATGTAACTGAAACAAGAACTCGTACACTTTCGCCCACACCAGTTAATACAGGAAATGTTGAAAAATATGTAACCGAGACACGTACGGTTAACAATGAAGTGGTTCCAATTCCGAAAAGCACAAATTACAACGAACTTGTACGTGTTGAAAATTCATCAGGACCGGAAGTTTTGCGAGAATTGCATTTATCGAATGATATTATGCCACGACCTAAAACAAAGGTCACAACAACAATTCGTACTTACACTTATGAGATACCAGACGATGAGAATTCAGCATTACTTCATCCTGATCGTGATCCACCCAAAAATAATGCAATGTTTTATAAAACGGAAAGGAATGAAAAGAATGTCAATTACTATCCAAGTGAAACATCACCATTGACAATCCAGGAGGTGCAAGTAATTCCTCCACCTCAAAATACAACAACTGTCTATAAATATTCAACAAATACTACAAACACATCGCATCAATCACCACAACCAATTTCATCTGTGCCAGCTAATATTCCACCAAGTGGACCTAATTATCCTCAAAATGGACCTAATTATCCTCCAAATGGCAACTATCCACAAACTGGAACTTATCCACCAGCTGGATATCCACCATCAAATCAGACAATCATTTATAAAACGGAAACAACAACAAATAAGTATGGCTCACCACAACCAATTAATAATTATCCTGATGCTGGATATCCTCAACCAGTTGTCACATCAACACCAGCTGGAAATATTCCACCAGGTGGAATCACCATCTATCCACCATCCACAAATCAAACGACAATTTATAAAACAGAAACGACTACAAATAAGCAATATAGATCACCAACACCAAGCAATAATTATCCAGTTGATCCTTATCCAGTTGGATATCCTCCAAATCAAAGTCTTCCACCACCACATAATCATCCACATCATCATCATCCTAATGAGCCATCTGTTGTTGTTTATAAACAAACTACAACAACAACACGTGGTGGTCCACAGCCACCACAATCACGTGAACCGGGTCTTCATCCTTTCCCAGTCGATGGACCGATTATAACTGAAGTTGACGGAAGTCCACCGAAACGTGTTGAAGATTTAATGGCATCATTTGGTGATACAAGTGAAATTCATTATACAAATAAGAAGGTTCAGATTGCTGAGAAGCCATTGACACCGACTACACACAATTTGAGTACGACAACAACAAAGGTTTACTCATCAGACACGACGGACGATAAGGATAAAAATAAATCTGTTGTACCATCGAGAAACGTTGCTGGACCACCTGTTTATTATCCACCAAATCATGAATTATTTACATCAAAGGAATCATCACAAGCTGCTGGATATAGAGCACAGGTAGGTTTTTTGGGGAATATGGTGGTTGCTTATGATGACATCGAGGAGTAAAGAGCTGTACAATATTGCCAAATAATCCTGAATATCCATATGCATGTATGGAGCATAATAACAGCTTCAAACTCACAATCAGAGTTGACATGCCTACACTTTGGAGGCACACTCCATTGAAAGCTTGTCAACTCTGCCCACCACACCTAAATCTTTAGACGTCATAAGCAAAAGGCCAATTAAATAAATTCATTATGTTCTAATTTTCATAAATTTTGATGATTACAGGGCGGATGGGCTAGAGAGAAAGGTGCTTACAAATATGAGTCAGAGAGTCGTTCAAAGAGCACAACTAAATCTGGGGCAGCGGTCGTTCCACTATGGTGAATATAATTTTTTTTTTATTTATCATAATTTTCTTATCTAATGCTCTATCTTTTTTTAACCAACAGTTGTCCATTATGCTGTGCCATGCCATGCACTATTATGTGAAAAAATTATGCAAGCTTTTTTTTATTAATGTACGATAATTTTTCCTCTTTAAAGTTTTTAATTTGTTATACCTTTTTATTTACACAAGATAAAAAATTATATTACCAACTTACAAGATACATGATACTTACAGTTGAATCTCTAACAACTTTTACTTAAGAAATAAAACAGAAGTAAATTGCTTAAATTATTTGAATGATAAGGAATATTATCGCAGATGGAGGAGTGGAGCTTGCAGATTATTATGTCTTGAGATTAGTATTTGGAAGCTTTAATTGAAAGATTTGATTTGTTAGACAACTAGGAACATATTAGTAACTAGTTGAGATTATGACAACATATTTCAAGATCAGACAATGAATTTTGAAAGGGATTCGAACTCTTGACATAAGGATTTTTATATAAACCCATACAACTGAGCTATCAGCGGTTATTTGCTAACCATGGTAAAATCGCCTAGATATTATCAAAAAAGTTAATCATTTCATTTAAAAATCATAAATAACTAAGACTTCTGCAGCTCCTACCTCCGTCAAAAATTAAATTTCCGAGTAGCATACTGTAGTCGATAGAACAATGAAAAATCTCGAAAAATGTCACAGACGGTAGTGTGCAGCTCGGGATAAACTATCAAAAATCATTTCTTCAAACTAGTTGCTTATAATATGTAATTAAAATAACAAAATATATTTTTGATAATAGCAATTTTATAAATTTATAAACTATTTTCAATTAGAATTTTAAATTGAAGCTTCTTGGCTTGGAAATTATAGCCAGATTCTGAACAGAAAATTGGACTTAAAGCTTTGAACAGATGCAAATCTTCAAGACTTCAAACTGTTCCTGATTATACCTTTGACTCTGTTGAAATGATTTCAAAAAATTACTTAATTCATACCTTGTCCATCACCTTTCTGTCCACAAAAATTTTCAAACTCATTAGTCATGTCTGAAAAATCTGGCTAGAGATGCCAAGCAAGAAGTAAGATACTAAACAGATATAAACAATACCCATCAGTATCATCATTTTGTTCATGATTCAGTAAACAGAAATTTTGCTCATACTTAATGAAGTATGACTAACAAATGAACAAAGATAGCTGAAACAGATGAAAAACATTAAATTGAAGATGAAAGTGATTTGTGCTTATTCATTTTGGTGTCTAATACAATTATTTTGAAGAAATTAAATTAAGATGATGATTTACATTTTGTAACTTTGGACAGTTCATTTGTCAGAGGATTTAAAGTTTTCTTCAATTGTTGATCAGGCATGATTCGAACCAGAAGAATTCAAGATTCGCCCCTTTCATCAAGATATCAAAATTTTAATAATCAAGCATCAAAATTAGCTCATCGCTTTCATAATTTTAATTTTTTTTAACCAATTACGTCAACTCTTTTGAAATGCCTTAAATTGATCATAAATTGTAAAAGTTGACACCCTTAGATGTTAACAAAAATCAAGTCAGTTAATTTTTTTAATTTATTTTCCACTAAGAATTTTTTTGTTTTCTTTCTCTGTCCACAAAATTGTCTGTATGATTAAAATGAATATATTGTAAACCTCAAAATTGAGAAATAAAAAGTTTTGTTACTTAAAAAATGTGTTTCTTGAGTTTTTTTCATTGTTTTTAGGTTAGGTTAGAGTTAATTTGGGTTCCTTGACTGGTAAAGGAAATTCAATCTTTAGTAAATTGTCTCAAACTTCGTAAATATGTTGTATATTCCTCTAAAGAGTAACTAGACCACATTATTACAGTTCAGACTAGAAATTAAATTAAATTAATTTTTAAGGTTAGGGGTCGTTCATTTACGATGTCTAAAATTAACGGTAGTTTTTTAATCTATTGTACGACTGCCTAGCCTAGCCCAAGCCTAGCCCAAGCCTAGCCCAAGCTTAGCCCAAGCTTAGCCCAAGCCTAGCTTAAGCCTAGCTAAAGCCTAGCTCAAGCCTAGACCAAGCCTAGCCCAAGCCTAGCCCAAGCCTAGCCCAAGCCTAGCCCAAGCCTAGCCCAAGCCTAGCTCAAGCCTAGCCCAAGCCTAGCCCAAGTCTAGCCCAAGCCTAGCCTAAAGTTAAGTATCCTCGATTGTAGCAATATTCTAGCTCCTATGCTTTTTTAAGTTTCGCAATCAAGGTTGCACTAGCTTATTATATTACATTCGATTATTATAACATCTGGATTATCTTTAAAATTCCCTAGAAACTTATTTTGTTATCTTCAAGCTCCTTTTGTCTATATTCAAGATAATCACGATTCAAAATCTCATCCCATCTAGCAGTCGTGACCTGTAAAATCCTTTAAAAGATTCTATACTTATCACGACTATCCACTAAACAATTTGTATAAATTGAAAAGGAAATTTTAAATTTCAACTTAATCAGTTAAGACTTCTCAAGCAGACAGGATGAAAAATTTATTAATAATTTGTGGAATTATGATGGTTATCGTAGCTGTTTGGCAGTGTGATGCACGTCCTGAACATCATAATCATCATCATCATCATCATAAAGATGAAAATAAAACCGAAAAAATTGTCGTGAAATCTGAAAATGGAAAAATTTTAGTTGTGAAGGTGCCAAAATCCAAAGTGAACGAGAATAGAGACCGTCCAAAATTGACGGTTGATGAAGATGGAAATTCAATTTTAAAACATGGAAAGTCTGAAGTTGAAGTTGTGAAAATTAATAATGGAAAGACTGGAAAGTTGAAAAAGAAGAATGTCACACTATCAGAATCTTCATCCAGTTCAAGAGATATTTAAGATGATTTGGTGTTTTCTTTTTGTCAGTGAAATCGTTCAATTAAGAAGGAATTTTCATTCTAAAACTTGAACGAACCTTAAAAGCTTTGAAAAATGAATAATAAATATCAAATTATTAACATAAAATTTGTGAAAGTTTTTTAAAATTAATTTTTCAGCAATAAGATGAATGTGATGCTAAATTTCATAACGGATAAATAAAATTTGAAAATCAGTTTGCATGCAACATTTAAAAATCAACTTGCATGCAAGATTTGAACAATAAACTTGAACAATAATCTTGTAATCTAATTGATTGTTTAAACATTAAAGTACTTTATTCTTGCAAATCATTTTAAAAATTGTGAAAACACTAAAAAGCACCGATTTCCAGATGCTGAATTCATCATGCTCTCCTAAACTCAATATCCATTTGCACTTGCTTTAAACCAACTAAGAACCGAAATCATTTTCATCTCACATTTTTATCAACACAACCCTCAAGTGAACTTGTGTCATATTTAGGCCCGTTTTACCATTTTTAAAATAATGCAAGATTTGCCGCTGATCACATCGAATGTTTTGGTGCATGAATTAGTTTGAAGTTGTAGGTGTGATTTGAATCCTACCGAAGCTTATCCAACGTTTTATCTGCAAGATTTTAAGTAATTGCTTACGAATTGTACATAGTAACCAGCACGGTGTAGTATGAATAAGTCAAATTTGCAATCTGTGAAGGCAAAAAAGTTGACAAAATAATTAAATAAATTGTAAATTTAATTCTGCTTCTTCACCCAGTGAAACGTTTCTAAATTTGCATTCAAGAAACTTAATCCAGTTAATTGAACCTTGTTCTGAGCTCGAAGCATGACAAATACAGTCAACTTTCGGTACTTAAGCTTTCCATTGAACCAGCTGCTGCCGTACACATCATCAGCAACTTCTACTGATGCACTAAAAAAAGAGGAAGTTATAAAAAATGTTCAACCAAAAAAATATGTCCGAAGTAGAGGTAAGGGGCCGAAAAATCACATGAATTGCTGGACATAATTTATTTACGATCTTTTACAAAGCTCCTACTAACTACTTACTCGCTCAAACGGTTTCCATAATAACAGTGATTAAATGCATTCCAAGATGCAGCCAGGAACATCATAAAATATTTTGTAAAAAATAGCCAACCGATTCCAGCCTATGATTGTTGAATATTTAAACAGTATTAATTTATTGGTTCACAAAGAAGGTGTACAGTTCAACACTCACGAATGCTAAGAATGCCAACGAACACATCATCCCTATAATTCCAAAGAGGTCGATGAATAATATTCCTGTGAAGACTTCCTCAATTTTTCCAGAAACTTCCAGCAAATTATCGTGCATCTTAACAAGTTTCTTCATCTCATCAATAGCCTTTTCCTCGTCATCTTCTGGATCAATTTCGCTCATCATGTGTCCTAAGCTTTTCAATTCCATTGCATTTATTGCAACAAGTTCAGCATAAAGTAAATCAGTCATCAGGATAAGGGGCCGTTCACTTATTACGTAACGATTTTAGGGGGGAGGGGGGGTCTAAGATTTTGTTACGGTTCAAACAAAAGAATTTTTTTTTCATACAAATTTTGTTACGAGGGGGGGGAGGGGGGGTCTAAAAAGTAGTTTTTTCGCGTTACGTAATAAGTGAACGGTCCCTAATGACTAAACCAGATGTTATTGAGATTAAAGTGATGATGTTCAGGATCAAGTATGGAACAATTTTGTTCTGGTCATATGGTGTAAATAATTGTAAAATAATGGTTCGCTTTAGTTCCTGTGATGACAACAACTGATAGAGCTGCACCAGCAATGGCACGATGTTGTACATAAAGTTTGCAACAAAATAAGTTGTTGTGGCTATTTTTGCATGCATCTTGAGAGTCTTCAAATGTTGAGGTATACAAAACACATGCTGGTTCCATCTATCATGAGGATAATATCGATCCAACGTTGCTATAATATCCCGAACTTTATCGCGATGCAAATACCCAATCGAATAAAGTTTCACGAAAATCACAAAAGTTCCAGCACTCAGGCACACATTGTCAGCCAGGACTATGATTGAGTCAGTCCTAGTCACGCCTATTGCCATGCTGGTCATTACGAGAAGTGTAAGCATAATTAAGCTCCAGACTGCCACAATGTAGACTACCTTCTTCCATATCTTTTCCTTCTCATTCACTGGTTTTGGCAAATTGTTGAAGCCAAACAGGTTGAAGACTTTTTCGGAGTCAAAAAAGTCTGAAAATTCAATGAATTGATTTTGTGGTTTTTGGAATTTAAAATTGTTTTTCCAATAATTCTTGATACTCCTTAAAGTTTCCATTATTTGAAGTTTGAAATTCCACTTGTGACTAGTACAAAGGAAAGGCTAGAAATGCCAACAAAGCACATTATTTCGATGCATTTTCCTCGTTTTATTGATTGGAACTTTACAACTTGGATTAGAATGATTTGACGCTTAATATTTTAATACAGCAACAAGTATGTGAAAAAATTCAACAAATTATATATTGCTGGATAAATACCTATGAATTAGACAACAACAAAACAAACAAGGGAAGATTCCATGTCATGCTTCATACTTCATTCAGTTAAATATTTAATATCAAAAATTTTTATTTAATTTTTCATGCCTCCTTCCATAATTTCTCAATTAACGTTCAATTGCATTTCATGTTTACAAGATTCCTGTACAATAATCTTGTACAAGTCAATTATTGTAATATTCTCAAAAAAATTTAAATCCTTTTGAATCTTTCTCATTAAAATGTAAATTCCTATTCTGTCTTGCTTTTTAATAGATTCCACATGTCAATGAACTTTCAACTTTAACGGACGATCAAAACATTGCGCCTTAATGCGGTTCGATTCAACTTCAATTAACACATTTTTTTGAACAAGAATTATTTGATTCAGTTTGAACTATTTTATGGTAATCATAAAAGGATTTTAATATTTAATGAGTATGGAAATTTAATAGAAAGATTTGAATGAATGGATGAATTTGAGGCATTTCGGATAGGGATGTTTGATTTAATTGAGAATGAAAAAATTTTAGTAATTTTATTGATGTCGGATCTTGAGCTTGTGATGTGAATTTGACACGTACAGTCGATCACGCTACATACTTTTAATGATTAAATTTTAATATTTTATAATTTTCTTATAAATTAAAATTTAAGAGCAAATTCTTATAGATTTTCTATTAATATTGATATTTAATGCAATTCATACATTTTCAGCATCACAACATCTTTAATGCAAACTGACTGTCAATATTCGCTCTTCTTTACACGATGAACTTCAATTTATGGAAATGATACGCACGAAATGATAATTTTTGGGCACTTGAAGATGATAATTTTAAGCCAATCGAATTTTAAGCAGCTCTTTGATCAATATGAATTTAATATTGAAGGTTAGTGTCTTCCTGTAATTTTTCCAGCTAAAGTTATAAAGTTTTCACAATTTAAAGCTTATTTCATGAATTAATCAGTTTTATCAATAACTATTAATGTCAGACATGCACTCCCCACAAAAAAAAAAAAAACTTTTGCCTATGCTGTGAGGTGCGCTAGGGCGATTCTCAGCTAATGAGAGTTTGACGAGTGTGAATGCGCCAAAACACTGCACTCAAATCTAGACCTACAGTGTATTGTTGGATCCTTACCACTTCTTTGATGACATTGTTGCCTGTAGCCACCAAATGAAGGCTGTGAGCTTCATTTCCAGTACAAATGGTTTGAAAAAGAACAAGCGATAAAATTTCCCATACCGAGTCTCGAACCCATGATCGCTGTGTGGTTTTGCAAAAATTAGGTACCAAAGTACCACCGAGTCACTTCAGGTCATTTGCCCCCTAATCCTCATAACCTGAATTAATTAAAAAGATTCAATAAATTTTTAAAAATCCAGACATACAGATAAAACTAAAACTATACAACTCAACGTTCTTGATAGCACAGCTCACACTTCATTGTAATAGCGAGAAAAATTCAGAATATCAAACGAAATAATTTAAATATGTCCATCTTGAATTTTGTAATCATAAGAATTTAATTGAATCGACCGGCGAACGACCAAATGAATTTTTCATTGCATCCACATCCACTTTTTTTAAGCAAAAAACTTCTGCAAGAAATTTGCTTCCGATGCAAAATACAGATGAATGGATTTACATTTTAAAGAAATTCTGTTTGACGGTCGGTTAAAGAGCTTGATGTGCTTATAAACTGGGACTTTTGATCCTTGCTATTATGCTTTCTTAAATTCCCGGGAAGTCTCGGTCTCGGTCTCGAGAATTAATGATTAATTTAAAAATCTAGGTACAATAATATATGTGCCAAGTTATTAGCAATGCCTAGCTTTTGACATGAAAAGCGTTTTCGTATTTGAAGATTAAAAAGCCAATAAACTATTGAGTCTTTAAAAAGAATAAAATTTGCAACAAAAAATAAAGTTTAATCGGATGCAATAGAATAAAATTCACTGAATAATTTACCATCTATAAATCTACACCTGAATAAAAATCTCAATTTGTCTTTTTTTTCACTCCATTTACAATCTCTAACGCTATAAGAATCTTGTTTCAAGTGTTCTTAAGAAAAATGACATTGAAATTCCTGCAAATTTGATATTTAAATTAAATTTGTATTTCGACCCAGATGTTTCATCTTTCTTGCCTCCTCTTTCGTGTGACCTGACGCCGCCTTTACATTTATTTGCATTTGAACTGCATAAAAATCTAATTGCATTTATTTTGGATTTATTTCTCGTGATCTTTAACGTGAATTTCCTCATACATATACAATCATTCAATGTGCACATTTTATAGTCTGTGACGATGAAGTAATCATTCAAACTTGACCATGAAAAAAAATTTATATATAAAAATACACTCAGCTCAACTTCGCGACATAGCACATAAAGTTATGAATGAAAACGAATGAAACAATAATAATATTGCATCCTTGAACATGAATATCGTATCCGCGCGCGCTCTGCTGTTTATTTTTTACGTTGCTACTGCTGCTGTTGCACTACGAACTAAGTCATAATAAAATTGGAGAAAATTGCTCGGGTTTCGAGTTGAGCGGAAGCGCAGTTTATGTTGGAGGAGATGTGAAAATGGGATTGTTGCCTTGGGCTTATGAAAGCTATTTTAATCTGCAATTGAATCCTAATAATTGAACTCCTTTATGTAAATCTATGATCCTTGAATATTAGAATTAGGCTTTAAAGCCTTGTGATGAAGGTTCAAATCCTTCAATTAAGTTTGGTAAGGTTACATACATTCGAATGTTGTCCGCAAAACTGCACTGCAGACAAGATACTTTTCAAGAAAAAAAATCAAATTTCCAAACTAGCAATTAACAGCAGTATTGTGCTGATTCACCTCTAACACCGAACAAACCGAAAGGTAAGATTTAATTAATTAATTACCTCCCTCCCTTAAGCTAGTAAGTTGCAATTGATTCGCCTTCTTTTAATTAAATTAAACAAACCATCCCCAACTCAAGACAGCATCTACACCCAGACTTCACATAAGTCGCACACGTAACAAGCAGTCTGTCAGCTAAAACTAGCACAATCTCACTTACAAAATCAAAACTACAAAAAAATTTGCTACAAAAACAAAAAAGCTTTCGTTGAATAGACAGAGACAAAAAATGGTTGTGCATTGCCGCATTATTATTATTATTTGCATTCGAGACAGAATGTTGAGTGACGATCACATGGCGTTGTTGGTCGATATTACCGACTAGATGTATATAAATCCACACCAAAACGCTCTGCTGATTTTTCTGTTTCACGAACATTACGACTTGTCTGGACAATTGTTTTTGCTTTTATGCATATAAGTAAGGAAAAAATAAGATAGAATGAAAGAATTGACAGACATTAAAGTGTAATGCATACGCATATTTTACTTTATGCATTATTATTATTATTCGAATACGAGACAAAACAATTAGACAATTAGTCATTCACCTCCTTCTCTCTTTTTCGCTCTTATTATGCCTCTCGTACACGTACAATTAATAGAATTAATTACAATTTTGTGCATTTCATTAAGCAATGCATGTTGATGGAATGAGTGAGACGGAAAATGAATTTTCAATCAAGATAAAGTTGTCACCGACCTTAGAATTAAATCGTATAGTAATTTTGATATTTTTTTTCCTCATTTTTCATTTCACACTAAATTAATTATCAAGCTAGTTAAATAAATATCACGGCAATTCATATGAATCCCATATAGTATATATCCGAGCGGAACAGAAAAGTGCAATTGCATGTTGCAACCATCACATCGATGTGAGTTGTCTAGGTTATGGGATGAGAAATTGTTGGGATTGTTGAACGAATCATATCAAATTGTAGAAACTAG